GACGGGTCCATTTATTAAATACCCGAAAGTTTTGGGTCGGTTCGGGTCTCTTCAGAACCGAACCGAACCGACCCACGGACAGCCCTACGAAGTGCTACTCCCTTTTTTTATAGTCATACACTTCCCTTTCATTTATTTCATTGCTCTCCCTTCAGAAATGTTATTTCTTGCTTGATATTTTGCTTAGTCTATCCTGTAATGAATGCCGAAGAACAGCTATAATAGGCCAAAAAGAAAGTAATAAACTCATTTATATATAGAATGAAAAGACTGGAAGATAACAGATTTCTTCTAATTTTCATAATAGGGAAGAGGTCATTTATCAAATCTTAACAATAGTCTCCATTCGATAATTGAAACATTGAGCACTCATTTTTTTTTTCATTTTCATTTTGTCCTAAAAAATATTCATAACGCACCACATGGCGCTCTCAAGTTGCTACATGAGCCATTGAACTTGCTAAATCTAGGTTGTGAAAGAATGGCGGCCAGAATTTAAGTTGAACCCCAAGTAGTTTCATATTCATTTTTTTTTTTGGGAAATAATTGTGAGAACTTACAACAGGGGACCATTTAACGCAAAGTGAAGTACTAAAGTTCCTAAGTTAGCAATGATACATTTTAATAAATTGCTTTGAATTTACAATTGATTGAGATCTGCATGAAAAGCTACGAATATGCTCCTGACTAGGAGTTATACATGCTATCAAAAAGTAGGTAGTCCATAGATGAATATTGATTGTCATTAACCTTATCGTGGAAAACTTTCAATTAATTTGGTAACATTTATATAAGTACTATGTCCATAAATATTATATTTCAATTCAATTCAATGGTCTGTTGAGAATCTATTGCATTTGTAAAGGGATATCGCCTCCAAGTGGTTTACTTGGAATTGTTGAGGATATCGTATGAAAATTGTATCCAGAGCGGAAGGAGAGAGTAAAAAGGAAAAATGGTTGCGAAAAAGAAAACATCAGGTCTTCATATGGAACTGGAACTTAAAATGATTGGAAAGCTCAATCAATTATGGAAGAGAAGACATGAAGATGCAGAAAGATCTGTGAAGAAGACGAAGGAAGCAATTGGATATAAATACTCGTCACCTGGAGTTCTTCGAAAAATGAATGACTATTTGATACCTTCTGATTTAGGTTAAAACTCTTTTGGGCTTGGGAGAAAGTAATAAGACGGTAAATTTTATTTTTTTAGTAATCAGTTTTTTATTTTTTTTACTTTTATTGTACTTTAAACTTTCAAAGGGATTTTGTACAAGTATGGTCCTGACAGAGTTTTGGAGACTCCTATTACCGAGGTTTCTCTTTGCCTTAAAACTCATGAATTGTTTAAGTTGTGTTTGTTATAATTTTACATACTCAAACTATATATTGCAGGCCGGGTTTCGAAATTGGATGAATGGTGAATTTGATACTTCTATAAATATATTTTGTAGGCACGTTAACAGTACCTTAAAAATTACCAAGCCCGTGCATTGCACGGGCAGTAACTAGTATTCTTAAAAGACATCATAATTTGTTATTTGGTTTTTTTTTTTTAACGATTTGAAATTTCATCCATATATAGAGTACAAGTCGCGTTCGACGTAGAACACAGGTAGTCAAATCGTGTAAATAAAAACGTAAAAAACAATACAATAGATAAAAGGTTTATAGTTGTTCTGTTCTTTCGTCTACTATTGCAGTATTGCCAGTTTGTTTCCTTGAAACTAACCCATCATGCAATATTATCGAAAACATTGTCAATGAAACATCTCAAGAAATCGTAGGATGACCCACCTTCCATCAAAGCCATTCTACTCTTGTTTTTCAACTGTTTCATCTTAGTCCTCATTTCACTCTCGGGCTCCATTAGGAGCCTGATTCCCTTCTCTATTTCTTCAGCCTTCACAATCACATCACTGCCTCTCCTATAGTCCATCTTAATCTCCACAGCAATTCCGATGTCCTTCACCAACTCGAACGCATTAAGTTGCTGCTCGGCATACATTGGCCATGCTGCTATTGGCACTCCACACCAAACACTTTCCAAAGTCGAGTTCCACCCACAATGCGACACGAAGCCTCCCACCGAAGGGTGAGATAAGACGGCTACTTGTGGCGCCCATCCTATCACCTTTCCAAATCCTGCAGTGCGTTGCAAGAACCCTTCTGGCAGTACTTCTTCAGGATTTTCATACTCTGATGGATCCTGGAGACTATCTTTAGGAGGAGGCTTTCTCAACGACCACAAGAACCGGTGGTCACTCTGTTCAAGTGCAATTGCAATCTCTTTAACCTTGTCTCCGTCAAAGTATCCCCTACTTCCAAAGCAAAGAAAAACGACTGACGAAAAAGGTTGTTCGTCAAGCCACTTCATGATCTTATCACAATCTTTGTTCTTGTCACTTTTCGCCTTAACATGAAGTATCGGTCCTATTGGGTAGACCGCAGGGATCTTATCATCATCAGAGAGGGATTTCAATGCATAGGCTTCTAAATCCAAGAAGGTGTTTATCAGAATTCCCTTGGTCTCTCTAAACCTTCTTGCCATGCTGAGGAGCATAGTTAAACCATCCTCGTCAAAGAATCTAGAAGGAAACACTTTACCAGGAACCGGATTTATATATGTTGGAACCAATAACTCAGCATCCGAATCCTTGTACTCAGTCACGTCCAGGTTCTGTTCGTCGCTGAGACTCTGCATATGGAAGTTGAGCCCAAGCCTCGCTGCACTAACTGTATTGAAGACATAAGTTGGGACCCCAAACTCATTAGCGATGTCGATCATAGTTGTGCAGAACATGTCTATAACAAATCCAGCTAGTCTAATAGACTCATCACGGACCATTTTCGCAACAGCATCTCTAACTGGATCCTTGTGGCTTTCAATGAAATGGAGGACAAAGTTGTTGGGGGCAATAGGCTGGTTAAGAGAAAATTCTATAAAACGGATGCGTGAATTGGATTTCCGGGAATAAGAGTCGCTCTTTGACTCGATTGGAAACTTCATGATGAGAACAGTGATTGAGAGGCGTTCATCTCTATCAGTGAGAAGCTCAGCCATCTCAATAGTTGGTACTAAGTGACCCATTCCAGGAATAGGAATGAAAACAAGCTCTGCATTCTTTGTTTCTACCATTTTTTTGCTTGGCTCAGCTTCTACAAGATTTATACATGTATATACAAGTGTATTATTATAAAGAAAATGAAGAATCAGTATATTCTTGGAGATCAAGAATGGAGATGACGTCATCGCTGTGCTGTCCATAAAATTATGTGCTTGTTTGGTAGATATTTTTTGAGGAATAATTGATTTTTGAATAGCGATATGATGAGAAATGTGTGGTTGAAAAAGAAGAAAAAATTATTGATGTGATAGAAAATATTATTTTATTGAAAAATGTGTG